ACTGAACTCTTCTTATTGTAGCACGCTTTGAAAGGCCTTACTGATTCGTTAAGTATTGAACCGACAACTATAAAAGTTACCAAACACTTAACAGGTGAGCTTAATTCTAGATGAAAAATTATTTTTTACCAGAAAACAATGTTTACCGTTTATGGTTTATTTGTTGTAAACGAGAAGCTATGGGGTGCCAAATTTAAATCTACTCTCTTCAGGTACTAAACCAGTAAGTCCAGAGCAGATGAGAAATTGGATAGTCATTTCACTAGGAGTTCTTCTGACGCTAATAGCTACTTGCTTTATTTGCTGTATATTCCACCGGTCAAGAAAAGCTCGAAAAAGCATGAAATACGTATGCGATTTGTTCTTTTATTGACTGGATAATTCAAATTGTTGATGTTTATTGATGAAGAATTATCTAGCAGGTACATTTAGATGTCTTTAAAACGAGCTGGAGAATTAAGTATTAATTTTTCAGAGTCCGTATCCAGTACCCTGCGCAATGAACGGTTACGATTATGAGGCAACTAGTGAGCGAATATTTTATTCCTTATCTCGTGTAAAATGCAGGGAAAGAAATTTGCGTTATGAAAAACCATGATACCACGATATAAATCTGATAGACTCCTGTTTTTTTATTAGCTCTTTTTTGATTGCTCATTTCCAGTGGTGCCTCCAATGGAAAAGAAAGGTTTTGAGAATGCTGTTTTTCAATCGACACTTCATGCCAGGCAGTTTTCTCAAGCAACTACGGCATCTCAGAATGGGAAAAACTCACCAAATTCTGCTCAAGAAAGCCCAAAGGGAGTAGGCGAGACAACGTATCAAGAGTGGTTTACCAAGGCTCGTTTACTCTTCACTCACTTTTAACAAAACATTTGACTCTTCACCCTTAAATCTCAGATAATCTTTGTACAGTCTTTTTTTTTAATGGAAGAGACACAATTATTACTTTAGGTTGCCTCGAAGCCAGCATCTCAACACCATCAGGAATCTACAATGCCATCTCCCGGAAGACCATCACCTTCACGACAGTCGTATGGCAGTTCGCCTTACGTATCTTATCCGAATGATCCGATTAATTTTTACACTTTAAACGGAGAGCATCGAGTGCCGCCATCTCGGTATCTTAGACCGTTTTAAATTTTGAGTTGTTTTATTAATTTTGTGCATTACCTATCAAATTTTACTGACTGTTCGTTTTGTGAAGGTTGGTTGAAATTTGGATTGTTTTTTTTGCATTTATTTGTTTATATGTATATATATACATACATATTTTGTTTTTGGTACAGAAGAAGACTCTTCAGTAGTTTAGCATAGATTTGTTTTTAGCTAAAGTGACGATGTTTGATTAGTGTTTGTGACGGAAGGGAGCGGGTGAAAATACAATTTTACTTTATAATTTCTACTATATTAATCCTGCTGTTTCTTTTTTTTAATTAGGTTGTCCAATTTTATATAAATTTTGAAACATTTATAAAATTTGTCATTTTTTATTTTATGATAATAATAAAGGTAGAATAAACTTGACCAGAATGCATATTGTTTTTTTTCTTTTGTAGGATGTGCTTGTATTATTTTAGAATAAGTTATAGGTGGTATGATTTGGGTGTAAGATTATTTCATCAATTTTAGGATTACTTTTAAGCATTTATTGAAAATAAGTTGTTTTATTGTCTTTTTTGTGTGTGAAATTTTTTTACTGTTTGTAAACGTCTGTTTACTGACTGCATATGTGACGTTTAAAAAATTTTTTTCACATTTTATCGTTATCATTACTACAACTATTGTTTTTATTTTTATTACATTTATCATTGCCATCGTTTTGTTGTTGAATTTATTTGATGTTGGGACTGATATACGTTATACTGGCTGTTTGGTACAGTGGTAATACATTAATGATTTTGTCATCTGTCATCATCATCATCATCATCATCATCACCATCATTTTCATTGTTTTTCTCATCATTGTCGTGACCGTTTTCGTCACCATCGTCATCATCACCATGTGCCAGTAGTGCTTCCGAAACCTTGATCATTGATCAGCGTTGGAAATTAAATTAAAATTATCAACCACGCTTTGTGTTTTTCAAACTTTTGAAGATTTCAGCTAATTATTTATTGCGAATTTGTTGTCCTTTGTCACGTGTCTGTATCTATAATCAAGAGTAATGGTGAAAAAAAATGTGAAGTGATTTTTGATTTGCTTAACATCGCAGTTTCTTCATAGCAGTAAAATTTATTTCTTTTTTCAAAGCTATTTTTTCAACAACAAACAAAGTGTGATCATTTTTAGTAATTTTTGGTACAATTAAGGGAGGGTAACAAGATCAAATCAGACAAAAAAAGAGAACATAGTTGTAGTTTATGGAACGCCTGTTTACAAGTATGGCACTGCCTGCAGTATCAATTGAACTTTTGATGACGACGAACAACGTTTAGTTGACAATGTCCTCAGTTTTTTCTTTTTAGGTGGAGGTTGGAAAAGAGATTGAAGGACGAAAGTTTATCAAAAACCAAAACTGTTGTCTTTTTTTTTGACGTAGGAAAGATCAGTTATTTGAATGAATTAACCATCTGCTACGATATAAAGTGGAGATCTGTGGCAACAGTGACGCAAACCTGTAGATGTCTGGGTCTAAGAATTTTCTACTGCAATGAGTGCTACCGTTTAAAACGTTTTTTGCTCTTTTTTTTTT